AACACATGAACACCAATCCCCGTTTAAAAGAGAATTGATCGTGGCGTGGCAGCTTTTACGATGGCAGCGGCCAGACGATTCGTAACGCTAGACCGATCGCCATTAATTGACTGTCGTTAAGGAACAACAAGATGTCAATAATTTCTTGGAAAAAGTGGGACGTGGTAGCGTGCCGACGCGGCGGCCTTGCCGATTCTGTGCACAGGTCTCGTCTCATAGAAAAGCTTTTAACACAGGAAGGCGGAGAACGTCGTTCTCCATAATTCGTTCAGCGTCGAAAGAAGATGGTAAGGGGAAGGAAAAGCTTCGAGCTTCACGAGTAGCCGGCGCACAATTTTCCGCGACGATCGTTGCAATCATCTTAAAACGCGCTTGAACGTTGATCTTGTTTATAACAAATTCTTCGAACGATACACGTCGATTCGCTATAGGCTTGTTTAACCCATCAGTATACCTTGTCAGATACCAATATGGTCAATGGTTTCTAGCTATTATTTATTTAGCTAGCTATATATTTCTAGCTATATATTCTAGCTATATATAGTTTCTAGCTATATACTTAAATAAAAAGAAAAAGAAAACTTGAAATTCACTCAACGCTTGGCCAAACACGATTTAATTTGTCATTAGTTGCGAATAGACTGCTGATCTTTATGCAAAATAAAAATTGTCCGCATCTATTATAAGAATCAAGATTCAATTAGGGGCTTCATTTAAATTGGTGCTACTGTCTCGAATTTCGCCTACACATTTTCGTCATAAATGCTCGAGGATAGACGTACTATTTCTGATTATTAAAATCTTAAATATTTTATCTCTTATCTGAACATTTATTTTTGTAATATCAAAACGTTCTTGTATTATTTCAAAATTCATTCGAGTTCTCTACTAGATACATTGTTTAGGTAATAGTTAAAATTGTGATTAAAATTGTTAAAATAAATGTTCGGATAAGTGAGCCTCTGTCGTATTTGCTTTTACGTTTTATTACGATGCGCGTGTTTACATTTCAAGATCCTTCTAGAGACTAAAAGGACACTCATCCTCGCACGCGCGGCTCGTCTCTACGTATAGTCCTCACGCGAGATCAAGGCACCTTTGTGCTTACATTCCCCCTCTTACTAGCTGCCCCACTGCCGCAACTATCGGCCTCTATTGGCTAAAAACGGTGACGAAGGTCGTCGTCTGCCCACAGCAACCGATAACTACGGCGGCGAGGCAGCTACTAAGAGGGGGAATGTAAACACAAAGGTGCCTTGATCTCGCGTGAGGACTATACAATGCCCGCGACGAGTGTTGTTGATATGGTAGAATCCAGATAACGCGTTATCAACGAACGAGAAACATAAGTACGAGACACGTTGCTCTTTTAGACACGTGATAATTCGCCCAGACTTCGTGCAAAACGCAGCATTCGTTTGCAAAGGGATTGCATTAATTTATAGCGGAAATGCTCGTCTTGATATTTCCTGACTTTGTTGCGTCGCGTTCCCGTTTGCTTTATCTCGGAGCTCTCGCAATTAAAGTGTTCTCCAGAGGAAGCAACGTGATCAGTAATAAACGCGTCTAGTTTGATATTCACGATTTTACGGACCAGTGAGTCGTATTATTTTTGTTCATAACTGTTCTAATTTAAGGGAGTTCTAATTTTGAGATATTCTACTGTTTCAAGGCAAAAGCATTAATTACCATATTCCAGTGTTGCATTTATACGTTCTTTGTGTTTATCTGGAGAAATATTGAGATATTAAAACATCTATGCTTATATAGATTTTTTTTCGTTATATTTATTTTATTTTAATCTTTTCAATGTACAATATTCAATATATAATTCAATTCAATATACATATAATATAATTCAATATACAGTAGTACAAAATTTAGTAAAAATAATATTTCATTATTTTCGAAAACCAAATTATTATTGGAAAAATAAAACTTTAAATGCCTTTTTCTTTAACCTTCATTATTTGGATATATCTTAGTATTGATTCAGAGCTTTATTCAGCAATTTTTCAAAATATTTTGAGGTTATTTCTTGCAGACTTTATTAGCCTTTCTTTTGTTCTTAACGTGACAGCAATTTATTCGAGTGAAACGAACGATTTAAATACTCTGGGTAAAAATTGACACAGCCACACCGCCTTGCGAGGGTCAATTTGATGGAATCGTGAGCAGCGACTGCTGTCAATACTATTTTCTTTTCTTTCTTAAGATGTCGATAAAATCTCGGCTCGATTTACTCGGTACTTTCCTCCCGCTTAAAAGTTCGATGTTGCGCGCATCACACGCGCTTCATTGGTCAACAACTTCGGAAATATTCGGAATTCTTACTTTAGATTCTCCGGAGGCTTTCCCAAAGAATTTCTCCCGCAAAAGCGAAGTGAATATCTCCCAGCAAGAAGACGAAATTGCATTTTGAATACTTCATCTATAAATCATCTAACTTGCTTTACGATTTCTTCCACGGCTACATTTATTAACACTCGTTTGCCACTAATTGATTTCTACGAAAATTCTGATCGTCGATAATGTTTATTCGCGATGGTTATTCCTAACCATTTTTCGTATGTATTCTGTTGTTTGTGATCTTGTAGTTTGTTACAAGGCGAGAGAGCCAAGGAGTTTTGCGTGGTCGGAGGTTTGATGCGATTTTGGTGTTTTGGTAATTGCGTGGACTAGCCGGTGTCTATCTCATCACCGGGGCACCACTATTCGGATATGTTTTCGTGATCTAGTGACGTCTATTTCAACGCCGGAGCGCCACTAGTAGGGTAGCGTGAACTAGCCGATGTCTATTACTTCACCGGGGCGCCACTATAACGATTGGAAATTTCGTGAACTAGCCGATGTCTTTTTCATTAACGGAGCGTCACTGGAAGGATTAATCGTGGACTAGACCACTATAAGTGTAGGAATTTCGTGAACTAGCCGATGTCTCTTTCAGCACCGGGGTGTCACTAGCCCTTTCGCTACTACGGGCCACTATAGTGGCCTTCCATAAGATGCCACTGAGGTACTACGGGCCACTATAGTGGCCCTCCATAAGATGCCACTCAGGTACTACGGGTCACTATAATGGCCTTCCATAAGATGCCACTGAGGTATTACGGGCCACTATAGTGGCCCTCCATAAGATACCACTCAGGTACTACGGGTCACTATAATGGCCTTCCATAAGATGCCACTGAGGTACTACGGGCCACTATAGTGACCCTCCATAAGATGCCACTGAGGTACTACGGGCCACTATAGTGGCCCTCCATAAGATGCCACTGAGGTACTACGGGCCACTATAGTGGTCCTCCATAAGAAGCCACTAAGGTACTACGGGCCACTATAGTGGCCCTCCATAAGATGCATTATATTGCATAATGTTATTTCCTCTCATATTGTAAATTAAAGAGCGCATGCTAAGACGTTATAAATACTCTGGAATACCCTTTATTTATAAATACACTTTGGAGAAAAATGTTTTCGTTCAAAAACATTCAAGCAGCTTGGGTTCTCCGTCGCGGTACTCCCGCCGACGATCGGCTTCGCGTCGCGTGCAGTGATGTCGCGGCGCTCCGTTCAGCGGAAGTACCCGCGGCGGAGAACCCGCCCGTAGCGAAAGGGTTAGGTACAGTAGGATAGATACTTAGAATTTGGTTGCCTCGTACCTTTTACAAAGAAAGAAATGAAGACACACCTCGAGCGATAAAGGAATATCTCCGTGGGTTTGTGCCAACTACTGTTTCTAATCGGGAAATGGAATAATTGAATATTACAACCAAATAGACTAAAGATAGTATATTACAAGCTTTTTGGTCTAATACAATTGTATGTGCGTGCGAGCGCGCGTGTGGTATCGCGGATTCTAGATAGCGCTCTCAGTTTGTCGCACTGAGTCGGCGGGGGCTTATGACCTTGTAATGTACGTACTCGATTGAATTTGCTCGAAAGAGGATCAGACTCAATCTTACTACTGTTTCTTCGTCGGAAGCTGACTTGAACTAGCTCGCTTTTTAATCGTGTTTGGGTGCTTTATATAGGGTGTCCCAAAAGTGTCTCGCAATCCGAAAGTAGGGGATTCCTGAAGTTATTTGAAGCAACTTTTTCCTTAGCGAAAATGCAATCCGCGGCTTCGTTTACGAGTTATTAACGTAAAACAGTGACCAATTAGAGACGAGATCATTTGGCGCGAGACGGCCGAGCCAATAAGCGGAACTGGGCTTCGTGCACTCGTTGGCTGGGCCGCCGCGCGCCAGCCGAGCTCGCCTCTTATTGGTCAGTGTTTTTCGTTAATAACTCGTAAACGAAGCCTCGGAGAAAATTTTCGCGAAGGAAAAGGTTGCTTCAAATGACCTCAGGAACCTCTCATTTCCGGATTGCGAGACATTTTCGGGACACCCTGTACATACGTATGTATACAAATATGAAGAAACTGATTTACACAAAATCGTATCTTGAAATTCACTTTTATTACGTTATGCAGTTTTTTAATATTTTTCATTTGCAGCTACTGTAAATGCACTGTAAATATTAAGCAAATAAAAATTTAAAAAAAGGAAATAGAAAGTAATTAATCGATAGATCGGGAATCTTTATGCATTTACGATATTTATCCATTTTTACGTTACTAAAAGGCGTGCATATTGACGTATATCGATGACATTGCTATCTTATTTTTATCATAAGAAATTTTCCACGTAAACATATAATTGAAATGTTTTAACAAGTGCGATATAGATAAAAAGAAACTATTTAAATTCGTCGATAACTTTAATGGGCACAGAAAATTGACACACTTATTCTAAGCGAACAAAAACCGATGTTCTATCGACGATGTTTTCTTATCGAATTTTCGACACAGTTGTTATGTTTGGTTTCCGGTTAACAACATTCGGTCGGCGAGTTTCATGCTAATTGTGTGCGAGAGATCGCGTTTACGGAGCTGCGAGCGATCGGCATCGATTGTGATCGGTTTTTCAGCCTGTGCTCTTTCCCGTTTGTTCCAGGGGACCATTCAGCGTGGTGCGGAAATGTATTCACCGGCAGACGGGCCAGACGTTCGCCGTAAAAATCGTCGACGTAGCGAAGTTCACCTCCAGTCCTGGTCTAAGTACAAACGGTAAGAGTTCGCGCTGTAAATAGCAAAGAACAAAGAGGCGCGCGCGCGCGGCTGTGCCTATGTCCGCGTCGGTGCCCCGCCATTAATTTCCGGCTGCTCGAAACATAACGTATTCCCTGTACGTACCAACTAGCGGCCGTGTTTCCCTATTCTCTTTTAGGGACCCGCGACGTACTATGAATTCGTGCCGCTCATTGTGCGGTTCAATAGGAATTGGTTTCGTTGTCGCGAACGCGGCGCTTCGCCGCTGATCTTAATCTGGAACACGGCCGCACGGTGATACGGACGCATGAAATCATGGTGAAGATATATAAGACATTGACGGAGATTTCACTAAAAATTTCTCTGTAGAGGTGTCGAAGTTTGTACGTAAGAAAACTGCACTTACACCGATCGGCTTTTGAACCGTCCATGTATAAGATTTTTAACATTAGAGCTACCAACAGTTAATTCGAAGCTATTTTTACCGAAACCAACCAAAATTACTGGTCTTTAAAAAATATGCAATAGCAGAATATTTTTATATTCCCTGTTATGGAATTATTATTAACTACTATATAACGACATCTACAATAACTATAATAATGTATACTTTCATGTTCATCTTCAGAACTTGAAAGCACACGAGCGCGTCTTCTTTTACATAAATTCAAAATATTTTCCAATTCACTTCCCGAGGATTCCTGTACATTTTCTTTGTTTATTTATATATATGTTTAACTATTATTTATATATATGTTTAACTACCAACAGTTAATTCGAAGCTATTTTTACCGAAACCAGTCAAAATGATTGATCTTTAAAAAATACGCAATAGCAGAATATTTTTATATTTATTGATTTATTACTATCTTACGAAAGGAATTCCCTGTTATGGAATTATTATTAACTACTATATATCGACAACTACAATAACTATAATAATGTATACTTTCATGTTCATCTTCCGAACTTGAAAGCTCACGAGCGCGTCTTCTTTTACATAAATTCAAAATATTTTCCAATTCATTTCCCGAGGACTTCTGTACATTTTCCTTGTTTATAATCTCATTGTCGCTGTTATCACTATTATCGCTACATAGTTCAATTCCATTTTCTTTCAATTCATTTTCTTTATGCTCATACAATTCACCATCCTCGATATCAGAGCATTCCATTAGTAAATTATTCATTTTTTGCAACAATTTAGAGATTTTCAATCGTTTTGCCATTTTTAGGGCTCTTGCCAAATATCGTTCTATAAAAAAGAATTGGGTTCCAGCGACCATTGTATGCAAAATGACCGCGTGAAACATTATCGATGACTACTGTCCGTTGCTCAGAAGAAGTCAGCCGAGGAAAGTGTAGAACCGGATTCTACCAATCCAACCATATTAACACTATGCCGTCCGGTGGCACCACGCTGGTGCCATGCAAAAACTATCTGTTGTATGCCGGTGGTACCACTTTGGTACCATTTTAAAAAACTGAAATAACATTTGAATTATATTTCTTGGGTGTTAAAAGACAGCAAACTAACTATAGCATTGTGCTTATTTAACTAAGAATTAAGTACGAAAATTCTTGGGTGACATATCTTAATTTTAGGAATTTATATTACCGCCATCTTCGAAATTCTTTTTAAAATCTAAAATTTCCAAGCTATTATGCCGGCGTCAAACAAAAGAATTATATCTAAGATCTGCGGACGGCATAGTGTTAACGTCCTCACAGAAGTAGGGTAAACGCGTTTCCCTCATTGGCAGAAATGATTCCTTCCCAAATTAGCCGTCATACTGAATTTCCACGAAACGAGGGATTCGAGTTCGGTCGATTGAAAACAAACAACGCCCCCTGATTCCCGTCACGTCTCGCTCCCATGTGGTCATCATTCTCGGCTCTTTAGACGCGTGTGTTTACATTATTTACGCGACCATGGGCGAGTGAAACGCCCGGCGGGAGTCAGGAGGCGTAGAACAATCGAGACAAAGTGAAACAGACGCAACAATTACAAGATGCAAGAGTGCTGACTTATCCCTAAAGCATTACAGTAATGTCTCTCTAATCGACGCTCAGATTGTCCACAAAAATGGACAATTTTGGAAAAGGAGATACGATTGTTCGAGTCTTGTGGCTCGTCTTTTTATGTGGTTATCGATTATCAACAACTATAAAAACGAGTTGCAAGGCTTGAATAATCGTATCTCCTCTTCTTTGTGCACAATCTGAGCGTCAGTAAGGGAGATATTACTGTATCTTCAAATTCTTCTGATGAACACATGATTATTTGTAATTACTAATTACTAATTAGCATCTTGATTAACTTTTCATTGCGTTGTTCAGCAAACGTGTTGTACTATACACATATCTTTTATATTTATGTTCTACCATATAATTTTTTCAAACGGTTACATTAACGTCTTAAATATGCTATAAATATATTCAATATTTATGAAGTATAAGTGAAAATAATCGTGCAATATTATTTTTATGTTCGCAGCGTAATTTTTCATGTTCTTACATCTATGTTAACGTACAATGTTAACACGTTGAATGCCACGCCGGTTTTACAGAAATTGTCCGTGGCGCCACGATGAATTTTCTCTTTCATGTGATACATATAATGTTGAAATATTATCTGCAATAGCTAAGTTACAGTGTATAACCATGTTTGACATGTTAATTGTGACAGGTATCACTGTTCGAATTGGCGATGGTAATAATACAAAATTTTAGATATCGACATTTGTTTTAAATTATATGAGCCGTTTATTTTGAAAGTGGCATAAGTCACTTTGTTTTTAAGTCGATATATTTAAGGGTTTGCATTGTAACACGTTTAAAAATATGGATGCTAACTTTCGAGAAGATTTACTTGTATTTGTTATCTCAGGATACTGATATTTTTCTCAGTATAAATAATTTCGTATAAACATTAAAAAATCACCACTTTTCATTACGGTAAAGTGACTTAAGCCACTTTCAAAATAAATAGTTTAGAAAAATGACTGACATATATTAATTTTGTCCGACTTATTTTACCGAAGTGATGTTTTGAAAGGACAGTGATTTACTAAAATTGTTGAATAAATTACATATATAATAATAATTT